AGGGAGAAAGAGAGGGAACGTTTACTATCAGCACTCCCCTTGATGTTTGCCTTGGCCAAAGCACCTCAAGCCTTTCGCTTATTAAAGTCATCATAAATATATTCTATCTGATGGACGCCCAGCTTCCTGGTATTTAGCGGTGCAAATTTCTACCCTGTTTCCTCCTCTCCTGCCTTAGTCTCCCACCTCCCTACTTAAGGTCTGGGAGCAACCTCATTGTTAAAGCATGTTTTTAAGAAGTCATAGCTCTGGTCTTGTTTTGGGTCAGCTGTCAAGGCCCCTATCTCTGGAAAGTCCCGAAATAGCCCCATTTTACACCCTTTTAAAGGACAAACGAGAAAAGACTTGGAAGTACAGCCAGGCACCATCGGACTTGATGCTAAAAAGCAGGCTGAATCAGACGTGTATCCTTAGTCAAACAATCTCTTGCAGATTCTGGCAAGAACGTGTGAAAGGTTCGTTATCATAGAGTTCAAATGATAGCAAGAGACCTCAGAGGAAAACATGACCTGATATCCCCACTTCTTTTTCTTCCTTTTTTGGGGCAGTCGTGTCATTTTATTGATTGTAAAGTGTTCCGATCAGATTTGCCAGTATCTGGGAGTCAGAGGAGTCGGATTCATTTGTTGACATCATGTTTGACATGATAGTTAGCTCCTATTTTAAAGGCTCCAGCAAAGAGAAACAGAGCCTCCCCTTTCATTTTTTTTCTTTTTTTCTGTCTTAACTCTCACACCAGTACACTTTCTCTGCAGTTTATTATACAACACGACCCACAGTGAAAGACTGCTTCCCCTCCCATCTATACGTCAAAAAGATCAATAACCCTTCCGAAGCATTGCCACCACAATGAAATCTTGTCAATGTGCCAAGAAGCTGCAAAAGTTCCCAATAAATGCGTAGCAAAACTTTCAATTTGTGGCTTTCTTGGTGTGGCTCTTGCAGCCAATGGGTTGTCAGTCAGTCCCTGGTTCAAAAAGCCCTGAGGTTTGTTTGCTGCTGTTTCTTTTTGGAAACTTGTGGCTTTGTGACATCCGCAGCCATCCATTGGGCCGTGTTCTGTATTGCCTCATATTATCCAGAGTTGAGGAGAATTGTTTTTGGCAACAGAATGCTAACATTTTCCTACAACGCAAACCTCCAAGTGGGGCCCTCTTCTTCTCCTCGCGCCTCAGGATGATGATGAGCAAGCTTTTGTAAGGTCCTCCTCTAGTTGCTATGGCTACTTACTCAGCCTTCTCACTGGTGAATTGTATGACTAGAAGATTACTGTATGGGTCATTTTCTCAAGGTTTGACTTGAGCTGTAAATGCAAAACCACCACATATGCTTTATGGGCCTTATACAGAAACCCCCCTTGTGGCAGTACTGCTGTTTTTTCATGTTAAATGAGTTCTGGAAATAAACTGAGCGGGATTTCGCTCCGTCATGTGTTTTAGGCCATGACAGGTCTTGTAAAAACAATGAGGCAGTCCACTCATTGAGTGTCTCTCCCCATGTTGTGTTTTCTTTTGTCCGCTTGGTCATCATGGCATGTCAATATGAATGGTGCTAAAGTGGTGTTGAAAAACTCCTGACTCTGTCCAATAACAAAAGCTGTGCTATGAAACACTAATAATGGTGGGGTTTTCCCTCCCGCCTAGTGTGAAAGCACACACCACAGACATGGTGAGAGACATGTACACACACACACACACACACATTCTCACAGACGCACAAACACACACATTTACGCATACCCCTAATGAGGGTCTGGACAGCTCTTGGTGGAAGGATTCTGCAGGTGGCTGCACTTTCATCAAGCCACAACTGGATTTGTTTATGTTTGAGGTCATATGGGCCAGAGAGAGAAGTTTGTGTGCCCAGACACACACTTACACACACTTTCTAATTACCCTCGCTTCAGTGTTTTCTCTTTTCCATAAGACATATTGACATGTCAGCATTCAGCCAGCTAGATACAGAACAAATGGACAATTTTACCTCTCTCTGTGTAGTGGAAAATCTATCCCTCTCGACATAGGCCAGTCTCTATTTGGACTTGTCTCGCCGACCCAGAGTAAAAGTCACTTTGAGATGACGGTGACACATGCAATAAATCATAGCACCGCCAGTCAGTGGCCAATCACATTTTCCTTCCCTAATTAATAGCTTATTTATTTGCTTGGCGGGGTCCTGCTGTGTGTGTTTCTGTCTGTGTGTGTCTGGTATGTGTGTGAATGTGTATATGTGAGTGTATGTGTGCATACAGTATGCCAGTGTTGAAAGAGCATCTCCACCTGCCTTTGTGTTACAGTTATTGTCATCATTGCACAAGCCCTTGCTTTTCATCCCTGGAAAGTTAAAAAACGATTACATTTTACTTCTAACCAAGAAAAAAAAAACCTAATTGGATAACTTTTCAACAGACAAACAATTTTGGATTATAGTTGCCTAGAATTCAAAGCCAGGAAGCTTTGTAATTAGCATTTACTGACAGTCAGCTCAGTGTTTCTGAACCCAAAACTGAGGTTTGGACGACAGAAAGCCCACAGCATCCCGACCCCCCACCTGAAGCTGAAAGACATTAAGGCATCAGTAAAACCACTCATGTCTTCTACAGTTTTAGGTTACTCTTGCACAATTTGATACACACACATATTTACACTTGGCATGCAGCTGAAGAGAGCAAGGGGAAAGTCCAGAAATTGTCCTATAGTTGTTGAACGCCTGGTAGCATTTTAGGCGACCCAGCCAAGCTGTTGGTTTTGTAAACTGTTGCAGCTGGTCTTGTGCATTACACGAAAGGGGAAGTCCTCTCTCTCTCTCTTTCTCTCCCCAGCTCTCTCTTTCTCTTACTCACTCTTTCTGTTTTACTATCTACTCTATTGCCATGTTTAAAGTCCACAGGCACATTTTTTACTTATAGGGCAGACACATTAACCCTAATTTATCTTTCTTTCTAAGTAGCCATCCTGAAACCCCTTCTACTTTACCCAACACAGTTGTTGCATTGAATAAATAAATAAATAAATACACAGAAAGAAATTAGAATGTTTGTTCCTTTTTATAATCTGTCTCTATCATTTGTTCAAATCAGAACATCAGCATCTGGAGCTATTTTTGTGAAGAGCAAAATTATTTATCTCACACACATAAACACATGCAGATGCTGCAGAGGCCAGAGTTCTTATCTACTCTACATTAAACTCTATGCAGCAACTAAACGGCCATTTTAAATATAATATGCAAAGAAATCAAGGAATTCTGCACACTTTCAATCACTTGTACTCACCTTATTAGCTACTCTTTTTTGTTCTTTATTGTCAGGAGCCTTTCTATTCCTAAGCATTTATTGTAAACATAAAGTGATGTGAATTTAGAATTATCAACACTATGGTGTGCTACACATTTTGTGTCATGAGAAACTGAGAAAAAGCTACAGACCCACAGTCTTTGTTAGTTAATGTGTTCATTGATCATGGATCACATCAGATCATATGGATGGATCACGTCAGATTTTGATTACATTCTCATGCACTTCATCTCTCTTTGCAATTTCAAAATAGTTGCGCTACAGTTAGAAGTCAAAACGATGTGACAAATTGTATTGGCCATAAGGGAGACTGCAACTCCTGTGGGGGATGACATGTTTACTGTTGCGTTGTTTGAAATTGATTTCAGGAACAGGATGCTTCTGTAAAGGTTTAGATGATGTGTAAGTAGGCTGAGAACACTGTTGTAAGTATCTGTGCTGTAATTGCTCCCATTTGGAGAGGCTGAGAAACAGATCCCTTGACAGCTTAATGTAGGAAACCACGGTGTACGGTACATCGGTGCACATATGGCCCATCTGGTTCACTGTTTAGTGAGAGCAGAGAAAGAAGAACTGAGAGTGAACTTCTATGTGCTACTATGTTTTTAACAGTTTTTGTATAAATAATATTAAGGACAAACCTATCACATGTGAGTGTACACATTCACAAGCTCATACACAATTCGTAATCACTTCCTGTGAATTGAGGACTAGTATAGAAAGATGCGTAAAAGAAGTTGTTGTATGCCAGAATTCAAAGAAAAGCTCCAGTTTCCATGGCAGATTCCACAGAAGATGAATGTCTCTTTGCCAATCACGGTGGGCCACACTGGTTCAAGAAATACAAACTTTAATATGTCAGCTCTAATATAAAAGCAGCCAGGCAGTCTTGTCACAACACCAAAACAACACACCTACTGTTAAAGGGTAGATGGAGGATAGGGAGCAGGAAAAGGGAGGCTCAGATATGCCGTGTGTCGGTGCTTGAGGAAGTTTTATAGGCCTAATTTCACTTGAACTCACTAAAGTACCACACTAATCCCCCACCCCACCTAAAACTGCTCTGAAAACAGTCTGCATCTCTTCTTTGATCCTCAGTTGCCATCAATGGGCTTCAGAGAGGGAGAAAAAGACGGAGAGAGACTCTGGGTTGCTATTATATGTGAAATGCCCCCTCATTGCAGCAGAGCAGCCCCATCTCTTCATCATTCCCCCACTTCCTTCATTTCCTCTGGCAGACACTGGGAGCATTCTACCACCCATCTGCCCCCAGTAAATATTGCTTGAAGGCTTAATTATACACACACACACACACACCCACAGACACAGAAACAGTCACAGCGAAATTTCCTGCAACGCTGAAGCGGAGAATTAACGTCAAATCTGTGGGGCATTCATTCATCAGAGTGGGTGTGTGTGTGTAGTGTTATGTTTGCTTCTGTGTGTGTGTTTTTGTGACCTCTCAGTCCATTATTATATCCCTCTGGTCACATTTGTAGCCCAAAGGGTCTGTGTGATGAACTGTGAACACCCTGTGCTCATATCATCAAGCGGCGATGGTCCCAACCCATGGCCGAGGCCCTGTGAAGCGCAGGAATCAATATTCTCTTTTAATGCTTTAATAAACAGATTTTTGAATAATGACAGGTGTGGGTTTTGGTGCCATGAAGCCCTTTATAAACATATGTATTTTTGGTTTTCTTAGCAGATGATGAATGACCATGAAGAAGCCTCCCCTGACAGCTGCATCAAGAAGGTAGGATAGTTATACCTGTTTATGCTATTTCCTGAATTCTTTCTCGGTACCTCTGCTCTGCATGACAACTATCGTGCTGGGTTTGCCTTTACATCAAAGCTATCAAAGTCATTGTGAGGGCGAAGTAATAAAGTGGCATTTCTTTGCGAGCACAAAATGTAGGACTTCTACATTTGTACTGGCATTACCTAATAAAGAAATATGTATAAGAGTCATCTGACTATTATGCTATGTTATATATAACAATGACACTAGATCAGAGGACAAGTTGGCTTTAAAGGTTTGTCACACCCCCTCTGAGAGACTTTAAAACTTTAATATCTTATATTTCTAATAATATTTGTGATTATTTTAATAACTGTGGTTGTGTGTGTGTGTGTGTGTGTGTGTGTGTGTGTGTCTTGGTTGTTTCAAGTGATCTTGATCTCAATGTGATTTCCTGAAAAAATACCTAACTAACTAAAACATCTGCTTGGTGTACAGAAAAAGATCATCTGTGTGCTTTGAGTCATGCACTCTTTAAAATAGCTATGTGTATATAATAGAATATTGTGAGCAGTATTACATTTTTAGAGCTTTCTACAAAAGCTTTAGTAGAACATATCACAGCACATGTGATGACACAAAACACTGACACACACACACACTGTGGCCGATACGTCCCATTGACCAGTCACTGACCACTTTATGAGGTGATAAATTTATTGAAGAGGCTGGGCAGTTTGTTTTTACGGCCGGTGTCGCCAGGTCAGGACAGGACAGCGAGAGAGTTCATGTCCATCTAATGGTCCATGAAAGAACAATGGCTGCAGCAGAGTGAGCACTTTCTCTGAGACTGACTGAAGCCATGCAGGCATAGCTCCAACTCAAGTCAATGGCAGGGTAGTTGAAACCTAAATCAATAGTTAAAAATGGGACAGCAGTAAATTATGTAGGTTTTTACCAGATTTGAGGTTTAGATCCATATTTGCAGTATGGCACCATTATTTCAAATACTCCAAAACCCGCTATTGGCATTGTCTTTGATGTTTTTCTTTTTTTCTTTTCCTCATTGATTGACTGACCTTGCAGTACAATAACCATCAGTATGAGATGGTTGAAATATGAGCTTTAAATGGAAACATTTGTTTACAACTCTTATGTGGACTTTGATTAAGGTTGATTGATAGAACAGAGCTAAAAACATTCATTATGCCACATGAGTGGCGTACTAAGGTTGTTGCCAAGTTGTTTTCACCTTTTATTTAGCTATTAAAGAAACTAAAACAGAGATTTGGACTTCTGTATGTACCTTTTGTCTCATCATACATGACAGGATGGTCATAAAATCACGAGCAGAACTAATAGTGGACTACGCACTGTAATACAAAATCCAGCTCCTCTCAATAAAAGCAGTATATGAGAGGAAAGCACATGTATACAGAGATGTCTCCTGAGCAGCCTTTGCAAGACGTATTTCACTTTAAATCTCTTTTGGCATAATTTACAATTATGACCAATTTTGCCCTTAGAAAAACAAAAATCACTTAAATTTCCTCATTTGCATTTCAGGTCAAGGGTCTTGTTGCTGTACCCTCTATAAACAGACGGGCATGCAAATAACCGACTGCTTGGTTGATTTGAAATCCTACATTAGTCAATGAGCTTATTTTAAGAGTTGACCGCAGGTGGTTTGGGCTGTTCCCTGTTCCCCACATGTTCGTACAATGTGGAAAAACCTACACGGTTTTAAAAACGACCTAACCACCTTCCACATGAGAGTGATCCATGCACCACACTCTGCACACACATACATGCACTGATAGGCATGTAAAGTTGTAATGCACACACTCACACAGATGACAGTACACAGGCATACAGTACACTTACCTACAGTGCATAAAAAAATCCAAACACACACACACACACTCACTGGCCACATCTCATTATGCAGAGTGTGAGTTGCGGTGGGCCCTCATCGGGCGGTGGCAGACCACATGCCTGTTATGAATATGAATGAAATTATGCATGAGCCATTCCTTATGACATGACTCATTCATCCACATCGTGCAGTCACACACACACACACACAAACACAGAGCATGGGCACAGACGCACATAAACATTGACTTCTCCTGCCTCTACCATGTCATTACCATTGCTATGCTTGATTAAGGCAGAATGTTAATTGAGTTGTAGCTTGTGAATAAACTAGTTCACTGCTGAAAGGTGTGTGTGTATTTGCATGACTGTGTGTGTTATTAGTTCTTATTTGTTGCTGTGCTTTACATTACAGTAAAACAGGCCTGTTATGTTTATATATGTAAATACAAATATCTACAACTACAGTATGCATAACTGAGTCGATGTGAACTGTATTTTAGTCACTATGGTCACAGATTAACTTTATATAGACAGGCTGCCAGAATACATGGATGGATTAATAGATGCGATGAGATGTATAAGCACTGGAAGACATAAAGAGGATATATATTTGACTTCTCTCTCTGTTTAAATTAAATCAGGAGGCACTGACTATATAGTGCTATATACTATATTTGATAAGTAATAAAACATTTAATAACCTCATCAATACATGTCTTCATAACTTGTGTTTCGTACTGAAAAGATGCAAAGATTGCTGATTGTATTATACTGCATACATACTGTACAGATTACCTTGAGATTGATAAGAGCCAACTACTTCTAATATGTAAAATAAAAAATATTATTAATAATAATAATATTTAATAGATTCGAACCCCAAGTTAGAAAGTGATTCATACAAGGTAGCAAATTAAAATCAACCAAATCTAAAATCATTTGATATATCACACCAATTCCAGTAGTGAAAATGAAAAAGAATCAAAAAGGCAATTAAAGTAAAATTTTTAAAAATCTGGATATTCTATCTGATAAAAGAATTTATAGTAACCTAACAGTAATATTTTAGTTATTATAGAAACATGTATTTACCCTTTCCATGCAGTAACACATTAAAGTTGACCACAAACACAGGCTCATTCCATGTTGCTGAGTAAGGCAGAGTGTAAAGGCAAGTGGGGGGCACTGGTAGAGTCAGGGTTAAGGCGAGGGATAAAACGGAAGCAAAGATGTTATTGTAGCTTCACAAGCCCACTTACTGAAAGCTGCCCAGAGCTTACAGCTGTGTGTGTTTGTATGTGTGTGTGTGTGTGTGAAGTTTTAAGGCCTTGAATTCATATCCTGCACTTGCTTGGACGTGGATCGAGTTTTTTTTTTACTGGCTTACACACATGCATCTTCATACCCCACCCACAGACAGAAAATAAAACAAAGATGTGTTATCTGAATCCCCCCTCTGCTTACTTCTTCTATCCTCTTCCACTCATTTTATCCCCCTCTCTCTCTCAGCAGACAGCATGGTGTTGTTGGAGCTATAGATTGCTATCAGTGGCTATTGGTGATATGATCAGGGATTGTTTGGTTTGGTCTGGTTATACAAAACAGGACTATCTGTCTGTTTAGCTGTCTAGGCCATGCTTACGTATATTCTCATTCACACATGGCACTGTGGGAGTTAATAGGGTATCAGAGGACTTGTGTTTCTTTTTGGATTCCTTGGATTTAAAAGTGGTAGCCAGATAGGGAGCAGGGAGAAAGAATGCAGTCTATGCTTGTGCATGTGTTTCTTGTGTGTGTGTGTGTGTGTGTGTGTGTTTGTGTTAATCCTCATCTTCAGAAGAGTGCCGCTGTCCATCCTGACGTGTGTAAACACTCCAGCAGATCAGATGGCAGATAATGACTTCCAGATAGACACCCTCCATTCAACCAGCAGAGAAAATCAATGAGCACTGATTGCTTTTTTCCCAAGACGATCATCTGCCCCCGACGGCTACTATCTATCTCTCTCTCCTTTTCTATCTTTCTCTCTCAATTTCTCTGTCTCACTCTCCAATCCCCATTCATTCACCTCTCAATACTACTGAGATTGAATCAATTCATGCTGCTTTTCACAAGGGATTTGCTGTGAAAAGATACAGCGGAATATCTGTTTAAGACGATCAAGTTTCTGTTGCTTTGTCTGTGTCACTCTTCCTCTCTTACTTGTCTGAGTGAAGGTGGACATGCCTTCTCTCAAGCACTGATGATTTCTAGATAGTGATAAATGTCTTTCTTTCTATGCTTGAGAGGGATGAGCGTTTGTGTTCTTTTAGTCAAACTCTAGTACTATTTATTGTTCCATCTACATAATGAAGCAAAGTACATGGTAAATGTCTGTTTTAGATGCTGTATTAGTTTTAAATAAGTAAATGAGAGGGGTTAATATGAACTCTGACCTATAAGTAGATTTTTCCCACTCCACATTGAAAGACAAGTGAGTCAAATGGGGGTCAGCTGCATTTGTGATTCTATGGGTGTGTATGTGCCTGCAGTTGTGTGTGAATATCTTTTTTTCTGATATCAAGCTGGGGAATTGAGTCCCTAAATACGCTAGCTAAATGACCCTAAATGTATGAGGGCTATTATGTGGACAGAGGGAGGCACATGGGTCACAGAAGTGATCCAGTGCTCCGGGCCATAGTTTACCCCCTGCCAACAGCACCACACTCCCCCATCCCTCCTCCTGCTTAAATAGGCTCATGATTGATTGATAATTATGATAATTTGTTTGAAATGATTATCTGGATATTATAATCACTGCCACCCCAGTGCGCCATGGGGGCAAGTCATTTTTCATAATGCTGAACGTCACAAATGCCCCCTGGTTACAGGGGTGGCTCTGTGTGTGTGTGCGTGTGTGTATGTGTGTGTTTATCTGTTTGTGGGGGTGTGAATGCCCAGGGCTTGGCAGTGGTCTCCCCAGGGCTATGACTTGACTGAGGAGTGATGAGACCAAAGAGCAGGAAATAGCCTGAACACACGTACACACACACACACACCCACACACACACAAATAGACATAAATACAAAGACTATAGTGCAGGCCTAGAAAGTTCAATTTTACCAAAACATCAATGTGTATTCCACTCAGTGTGGCA